AGGTACCAACTCTGAAGTCAAAATAGGCTACATTTTTCTAGTGAATTCCTGGCTTTTGCTGTAATTATGACTAAAAATAGTATAAACAAATAAAAAAAAAAAACAAAACCCTCTTTTCACCAATATCCAGGTGTTGTATTTCACTGTTATACTTTACTATTCCATATCCACTCTGGGGACAAAATGGCTAAATAATAATAATAATAATTCAGAGTTTGAAACAAAGACCTAGGCCATTGTGTTTCACAATCCGGAGTCCCCATTCACACTGTATCCTGGAGTTACACCTTATTGTGGCAACCTTACTTGAAAGTCTTATATGTTTCCTGAGGTATGCCACACACACACAGATACACACAAACATCAATTTCTAGTAAATAGTTCAGATCTTTCTGCATCATCTCAAGCATTATAAAATAGGTTTTCCAACTGCATTTAACACCAGCTAAAATTGCAGTTGATAAAATGTACATTGTCTAATTGTGCAAAACACCACCTCAAAACTATGTTAATTGTGGACTAATTCTAGGTTTCTGACAATAAAGTAGTAAAATTCAGCCTTGTATTTTTGGCTGTTCTGTATCACACCTTACAATTGCCCTTGTATTAGGAGGTGGTAAATACTAGGCAAGTATAATGAGGACTATGTAAGCTTCTAAAACTGAAGACATGCCTTCCTCAAAGCTCAGTAAAGCTCTTTACATCATCATGAATGTGTGCAAGTGATAATTATCCTTCCAACCCATTAGTGCTCATCAGTTAAGTAGGATTTTCAAAACAAGGATCTTGAAGAACTGATCTGAGTGAAACTAAGGTGTTGAGATTAGGAGACCCAAAACTTCTCCACTGAAGTCAGTGAAAATGGTACATATTCTTCACCTTACTCTATTGTTCTCAACTATTGCCCTTAGATGTCTTTACTCCTTTAGTCTTTTTAAAGCAGTTTTTCATTACATCTATTATCTCATTTAATTTCTGCAACAAAACTATTAGACATGTTTTACATTAATACCCCCTTTCCATATGAGGAAGCTGAAGCTCCAAGAGGCTGCCTACCTTATTAAAGTAGTAGCACTGCAAATCCAACCAAGACCTCTTAATTCTGAATCCCATTCATTTTCCACTCTTCCCTGTAGTTTGTAATCCAAGCCTCTTGACATTTTACGTAGTAACTTTTAACCATTTCATACTACCTATAAAGTTAATGCAAACAGCAATATTTATATAACATTATGCACCAAGTCTGATTTTAAGGACTGTATGTATATTAAGTTCATCTTCTGAACATCCTATGGAGACAATTTGCCATTAATTTACTGTATGACCTTAAAGAAATTACTCAAAGTCTTTGAGACTCAGTTCTCTCCTATGTAAAATGAGTAGCTTGAATTAGAACAGAAATGGCAAATAAATTTTAATCAAGGTTGAAACTCTAACCAATTGGCAATAGCTGCCTGAAGGGTTGTAATGAAAAGTATTCTAAGGCCATGTTGAGGCTCAGCAGTAGTCCCGGCAATGATCAGTTTGTGATGGCTGTCAAGGTCACAGAGAGTAACGGTATGTGGAACGCACTTGCCATCTATGAAGCACATGAACCCTAAGCCCTTTCTTAGCACTAACATTCTATGGCTCTAAGAACCTAATTCGTTCTTAAAAATCATCATGTGCAGGCATTAAAAACTAAATTTCGAGCATTAAATGTACTGCCACTGGTCTCTCTCCATCATCTCTCTTTTCTAGTTTCCAGGAATTCCTAAAGAACAGCAATTTGCTTTTGTCTAGCATGAAGGCATACTAGGGTCTCTCATTGTGACTGGCTTCCAGTTTAAACACATAGTGTTTTGTGGAGACTGTGACAAAACCCTCTGCCAAGTCTCTGGCAGCTGCAGACATCCACACACAGCTCTGTGCTGCTCTCCCACTTTCAGCCATGCAGTTGCCAGAACAAAACCAAGAAATAGTTTGTACCTTTTTTCAGCTGTTATTTCGAAGTGCCAACCCCTCCTGAGTAGAAAATAGAAAAACTCTTAAGGATGACTATTTTATGGGGATGACACAGCAGCAATAAAAAGAAAGAAAGAGAGAGACAGAGAGAGAGAGAGAGAACTTGTGTTTAGAGGCAGAGCACCTGATGGCCTCTTAATAACCCTGACCTGGTTTCAGCCCCTATCTCTCATTTCAATTTTTTGTTCATTTGTAAGCTTTACCTCAACACCCACCCACCCTGCCCCACAGAGAATTCTGCTTCTCTCACTGTTTCAAGACAGTGCAATATACTCCACAAGAATTGAAAAAGGTGTGATATTAAATCTTGACTCCACTATTTACTAGCTGAGGAATCAAGGCTCATTAACATCTCTGAGCCTCAGCTTCATCTGTAAAATGGGGATCATCAGAGTACCTACCTCAAGCAATGTCTGTGAAAAATAAAAGCCAGTGAGTGTGAAAGACCCTCAAGGCCTGCAAATTGCCATAAAGACAGGATTTTTCTCTCCTTCATCACAGTGGCTTTTTCTCTTCTCCTTTGTCTCTTCCCCATTACCCATAGGGCTTTTCATTCTTGGACATGGAAGGAAAAATTAGTTTAAGATGCTGAATTCACAGCAATTATGTCATACCCACCTCCACGGGTTTCCCCACAGGCTTCCTGGGTATAACACAGTACCTGATTGCCACAAGGTCATGAGAATTGGGGTGGCCCAGACATAAGGGATGCTGCCATTGCTGTCTACCAACACTACTGCTCTGAACCAGAACCAGTGCCTTTCATTAGAGAAGTAAACCAAGAAGCGATGGATAGACAGAGAACTCTTGAACAAAATTAATCAAAGCTATGCTTTGTCCTAGTTTCCTGAATCACAATCATATATGCTGACATCAAATATCTTATTAAAGATTTGCCTTTAGAACGTTCCATCAGAATGATTTGCAAAGCCATTGGGAAGAGATTTTTATGGGAACATGGTGTGCTCTATTTATTTAGAGAAAACCATGCTTTCCAAAATTAAATGACCATATTAACAGAAACACAAAGTAGAACCTACCTTTGGCCTAATTGCTCATCCTGTTTCCCACGACTTAAATCAGAATGCAAATTTGTTGACATCTTTATGTTAAGCACTCAATGGGGCACTGGAGACACGGTGATGAATGAAACTCAGTCTTTACCTTTATGAAGCTCCCAGCCTAATCATGAAGTCCAAGAGTTACCTGACATTTAAAGCTTTTGTTATCCCATGGTCAGGATTCTTCCCTTGCACATTAATTGTTGAAGATGTCCCCATAAAGTTATAGTCTAAAATTGCAATATTAGTCTACCATGCTTCTATCATTAAAACTATACTTTTTCCCCAAGAATTTATACACTTCTTTAATTGACCCACAGCATTTTCCTGGTGAAATAATACTAAAATAAAACCTTGAATGCTTATACCCTCTACATAGCTCAGGCTTTAAATAACTGGGGGTTAGTAATCAATCACCTTCACGTTTTTTGGCCTAGGCTCTGTACATTTCAGTAGTTTATTCAAAGGGAATCATTCTTTTCTTGAGTACAGAAAATAATGAATCTGACTCCTCACTGACCAAACCCCTGACCAATATGGGAGAGTCCCCTGAACACTTCTGGGGTGGCCATGCGTAGATACCACTTAGGAGGAGCATCAAGGTCCATTCTCTGTACCCTTAGGAAGTAGCTTGCCGTGGTGGCGCCATTCTGAGCCCAAGCCCTCCTTGAGGCTGAGGTAAGATAAGACTTCAGCCTGGGGCCATTTCTCACACTTGAAAAAGTAAGACACTCCTACCCCCATCCCATTCCATCTACCCAGCCTCCAAGGAAGTCATCTGACTTCACAGCTATACCCACATATTGCTTAATTTTCCCAAATCAGTCATTATCAAAACAGTCGATGATATTAACTCTTCTTACGAAATTACCTCTCCTTTCCCTGGTGCTGTGGCTATTGAAGGAAGAGAACCTGGCATTGATAAACTATGAATGTGCTTCAGGGGTGGGCGGTGAGGATATACAGCAAAGGTGAATTGCCCTTTGGTTTCAGAAGTTACCTCATATTCCACTCCTGCTCCACTATCTCTTCTAGTAGACAGAAAGTCCTTTTCAACAGCCCTAACCTATTGCCGCTCCAAAGGTTAGTCAATGCAAATAAAAATGCAGACACTTCCGGGTTTGCAGCTGAAATTGAGCTAATCCTCTGACCAATTAATTCATCAATTGTATAAAATAGATGATTGAAAAAATAAATACCAAAAACCAATTTACTTTCTATGGTTATTTGTTGACTTGAGGTCCACCCTGAATCAGAAGTCTTGTAGCAAATGACATTGGAGGGACCGACATTTTACTAGTGTGTCTTCCTTAGTTCTCTATCTGAAGTGTCAAGGCATGGTTTAGCAGCAATTATAACCAATGATGTAGGACACTCCTCAATTTTTTATCTACATTAATTGACCCACAGCATTTTCCTGATGGATTAATATTAGAGTAAAACCCTGAGTGTCCTGATGAAGTTTTTATATCATAAATTAAATAAGCATATACTTGCTTTTGAACAGTGTGCTTCTTGGGGAAATAAAATAGAAGATGAAATAAAAGGTACAGCAATTCTGATTATGTAGCAGCCAACTATTGAACTGGACCCTTTCCTTGAACTAAATGGCTTCCTTTTAAGTAGTAATGCTTGGTGTAGAGGCCATGGCATTCCATTCTCAATGCCAGACAGAAATCAGTCTCACAGGTCATTGCCCTGCAGCAAATAGCTAGCTACCAGTTATTACTTAGAGTTATGACTGTGAAAATCTGATACTAAAATAGTGCTGAAGAGTTTTGCAAGGATGAAGGGAATTTTGAATGTCTCAAGGAGAAAGAGCAAGGAGAATTAACCCTGAGCTGTGTCTGTTTCCTGTGTTTCAGAGCAGGGCTTGTCTCTGTAATGTATGACTGATTGTTAGTTCACTGTGGTTTTCTTTTCTTCTCTTCTCAGGAGGACAAGAAGACCTCATTCTTTCCTATGAGCCCGTTACAAGGCAGGAAAGTAAGTTTCCCAGCACGCTTTCATTCCTGATTTCTGGGACATAAATAGGTGACATCATTGAAGGAGGGAAAGAGTGAAGGACTAAGGAGAATAAACTCTGCTTAATACTCCGTTGTCTTGAGACCGTACCCTTCTCTCTCTCTCTCTCTCTCTCTCTCTCTCTCTCTGTTTCTCTCTCTCTCTGTCTGTCTGTCTGTCTGTCTCTCTCACCCTATCACCAAACAAACAACTTCCCTGCTGAGTATGGGCAGTAATAGCTCCTAAGAGAAGGATGCAGCCCTCCAGATGAGTGGTCCTCAACGGGAAGGAGCACATTCAAATTACCTAAAGAGCACTAGCTATGAGACTGGTGAATAAAGCCTCCGGAGAGACTGATGTCAGCTCAGTATTGAGAAGGCCTTTCTAGCAGATCTGCCTAAGACACAGGCTATCTGTAAGCTGCTGCTTTTTCCTGGAGGCATTCATACAGAGGCTAATTGCTATTGACAAGGATATTGCAGAGAGAATTCAAGCATCAGATGGGGAGTTGTACCCCATGAACTTTCAGGTTCCTTCTAATCCCAGACACAAGGAAATCTAGACACCATATCAAAGTATAGAGAGTATTTTGATCTGGGGAAAAGAAATCATGAAAACATAAGATGTTATTACTACTAACAATTACTTTTTATAGTCATGTCTAAACAATAGCCAAACAGCTGATTTAGATTCTTTCTTCTCCCACTCAGTTGACTAAATTCAGTTGTTTTGACATTATGTAGGCAGAGCCAGAGAGTAAGCAAAACTCCTCCAAATGTTTCTTTTCATCAACAGACACTGCAGTTGCCTTTCCCTGCTAGTAGATTCCAGAAAGTAGGCACTGCCAACCTCCTGAGTGTTAAACATCAATTTCCCTGTGCAAGGCTGTATGAGTAATTTATCCAGTGAAGTAATGCCCTTAGCAGCTCTTACTGTCTGGCAGTTAAGAATCACCCTTGCAGGACAGTTTTGCAGTTGTTTCCAAGTCTTTCTCTTTATCTCCAACTTCCTTTCCCATTCTGCAGTAAACTATACCCGGCCGGTGATTATCCTGGGGCCCATGAAGGATCGGATCAATGACGACTTGATATCTGAATTCCCTGATAAATTTGGCTCCTGTGTGCCTCGTAAGTGTCATTTTTCTTTCCTCTAGGGGGAAAAAAAAAAGAGCTTGGATTATTTATGAGATAGTAAAATGTAATTCCTTTCCTCCAGTAGTCTCTCCAGTAATTCAAATACCAACCATTTCCGATTAGCTGAGTTCCTTATTTAATTTCTTTGCCTAACACTTTTCATTTATGCTGCTGTGTGTCATTCTGTATTTAATAAAAATAATAATGTTTTCTCCAAACTGATTGTAGCCCCTTAAAAGGCAGGATGAATCTTTGTGGCCCCCCAACCATTTAAAACAGCATAGGATTTATGATAGGCATCAGTATGTTTTTATAGATTGATTGAAATGCCACTGAAACATTATTTTTTATAGGATGGAAGAGATCGGAAACAAAGCCATATATTAAAATCCTCTCAGGATGACTTAGGGCCGTATGTCAATCCCAAAACCCAACAGGCTTTCCCATGTTGACAGTCCCAGGTTTAGGGAGGATGAAGACAAGAAGATATATAACACTTCAATTTGACCTCTAGGCCATTACAGACTTTAAACTACTTTCTTCTCATTACAGATAATCATCAGGCTTCCTGGGCCCTCTGATTGTAGCCTTATTAGATTCTAACTGCTCTGCCTTCCCTCCTCCCAACTCCCTACCATACTTTCTCCACTCATTCATCCCATCTATACCCTGACTCTGTCACACAGAAATGTATGCAGACCTTCTATGTATGTAGATAGGTCCATCAGGAAATTTTAATTTATTAGATAATGGAGCTCTTACATCTGATACCAACAGATATTTCTCTTCCATTCTACGTATTTTAACACTTATGCTTTCAAGTGTCTCTAACATTCCAGTACTGCAAATTTTGCATGAGATACATAAGAATAGCAGGAATTGTATGTGTCCAGTACATGGCCAAAAGACTAGGATGATTGCTGTATCTCATGAAACAATTCCCAGCAAGGGCTCTGGGAAGAGATCCTGCCATAGAACATATCCTGAGAAAGTCTTCAGATAGGAAGGAGCAAATGAAACTCCAGGTCATTTACAGCAGCTTCCAGCTTGCTCTTCCACTTTTGAGAGAAAGAAAACAGAAAGTACTTAAGCATTCTTTCCACTTTTCCTTTCACCTTGTATATTCCTTCTCTTTTTTTAAATTAATAGAACCATTTTATGATAGTCAATATGTGTTCATTGTACAAAACTTGGAAAATGCTAAAAAGGAAGTTAAACAAGAAAATTAAAAGTACACAAAATCCCACACAATACCCAGAGATAACATCCTTGTTAATATTTGTGTACATTTCCATCTATTCTTTCTTTATATGCATGCATTTTTCCCTGTGATTGAGTATTTTTTGCTTATTTAAAATTTTATGTAACTATTTCAAATGCATACTATATCACAACTAATCATTCTTTATGAACATTTTGGTTTTTTCCTATTTTTCACTATTATGAATTATAATGAAAATACCATTGTAATTGTGTTATAATTATTACTTATAAAATAATATAATGAATATCTTTAAGGATAAATCTGTATCTGAAGTTTTGATCATTTTTATAAACATATTTCTAGGAGAAAAACAAGTGAGTCGAAGATTTAAAATATTTTAACAGCTTTTATTCATTTTGCTGGGTTGCTTTCCCCTTCTTTTCTTACCGAAAAATGTAGGTCAAATGGTTAGACTTGCTGATTTTTAGTCCTATGTTAACTGCAATTATCTTATTTTACATATGTTGAGGTCTTAATTTTATGTTCCTTTATAGAATATTAAGTTTTTGTTCTGGCAGGTGATAATTTACTGACACATCAGCTTCTTCCATTTGTGATATGGTTTTCACTTTGTGAAGATGGGTGTAGAGTAAGTCTAGAGTAACCTTTTAAAATGTGGCCCTTCTGGGATCTCCATGGGTTCTGACTGAACTCCGGTGTCTTCTAGCAGTGAGTGATGTCTAAACTGTCCATTTGGAAATGGCCTCTAGGCAGAGAGGTGGGGTGAATGCTCTCTCATATGTTTCTCTTTTCTCAAAGATTACAGCCCTGTACTTCCTGTTGTATGATGCCTGAAAACAGTTATTTCATGTATTTTGTCCAGTTTTTTAGTTGCTCATGGTGGGAGGGTAAGAGTAGTACCTGTTACTATGTCATAGTTCTTCATACTACATATTTCTACATATCAATGTTGAGGATGTGGTGGAGAATATAGGTGTAAAGCAAGTTTATGGTATAAATGCACCTTAATTTTATTATTTTTTGTTTTCTAAAGACACTACGAGGCCAAAGCGAGACTACGAGGTGGATGGCAGAGACTATCACTTTGTCATTTCCAGAGAACAAATGGAGAAAGATATTCAAGAGCACAAGTTTATAGAAGCCGGCCAGTACAATGACAATTTATATGGAACCAGTGTGCAGTCTGTGAGATTTGTAGCAGAAAGAGTATGTTCACCAATCTTCTTACACCTCCCCTGAAGAAGGTTTCTAGGTTGCAAACTGCATTTTTTTGGTCATTACTCTTTCTTGATTGCAATTGTAAATTTTGATTAAATAATTTAAGACATCCAAGCAGAGAATCACCTTAGAGCAATGTCATTAATCTTTGTTCTAATTTCAACAAAGTGTTCTCACTGACTGGAAAAAGTAGGAAGGGGGTTGGGGGGATATCTATAAACCTAAAGGCAATTAACAGCTTGAAGTTTATGAGGATTCGCTTTGTCTTTGACTCACTATCTGAGGCCCCAATAAACAACCTAGATTTTATTAAGGCAGGTTTACTACTTTTGTTGTAAACCAAGGGGATAGCGTTCCTGAATTCTTTTGTTAGAGGAAGTTACTTTTTTCTCTCTCTCTCTCTCTGAAAACTTGGCATCCTCATGGTGGAAGAGAAGATAGATGAGAAGGGCTGCCCAGCCCGTTGCTCAGAGAAGTTCTAGCTTAGAGGAGGTGTAGATGCTGTAATTCTCTTCTTGCTGGTAACTTCACAGGCATGGAAAAGAGAAGAATGTTCAGGAGAGGGTAGGATAGGAAGGCACCTGGGTGTGGCTATACAATCTGCCTACAGAGGGATCCTATCTCCTGTGAACACAGAGAACCAATATCATAGGAGAAGATATTTGTTGGATTGATTTGATTTGCCATGACATTTTTCAGTGGACTGCTAAAGAATTAAACAAGTAATTTTGATGTCTATCTAAGAATACACTAAGAAGTTGCATCTATTTTCTTTCCTCCCTCTCAAAAGTTCAGTTCTATCAACTATATAAATACTGGTTCTAGTCAAACTGTCCTGGATAATTGCACCTATTTTCCTCTTTGTTCATGCTGTTAACTTGAAATGTTCTGACTGGTGAATAGTCATCCAGCATTTATACATGTTACATGGCTGCTGCACTTCACAGATAGAAAACTTGAAATCTATTACCTAAGTAATAACAGCTTGAACCATCTTAGTGGGTTTCTCATATAAGAAGAGTTCAAGTATTCACTGGACTGTATTCATTTTCATGTGAACATTATAGATGAGATTTTAGCCCTTATTATTGATTTAGGATTGTTCCTATCTGCATAAAGTACCTTTTTTTCTCTTCTTGCATAAAGTTATTCTAGCCTCAGGGTAATGAGGACATTTCTCTCCAGGAGGTAGAATATGATGTGGCAAATGTATCTGCATTTCCAGAAATGCTTTATAAAGCAGCTCCTTGCTCTGGGCACTCATTGCGGTGGAAGCCAAGTTAAATGAGGTGTGCTATAATGTAATAGCATTTTTATTTGTTAACCAACAAGAAATTTACATACCTCATGCAAGCCTTTCTCTCTTGGCATTTAACCAGCATTTAATTTATTTATATATATATGTTTGTTTTTTGTTTTTGTGTTTTTTTGAGATGGAGTTTCACTCTTATTGCCCAGGCTGGAATGCAATGGTGCAGTCTCGGCTCACTGTAACCTCCGCCTCCTGGGTTCAAGTGATTCTCCTGCCTCAGCCTCCTAAGTAGCTGGGATTACAGGTGCCCACCACCATGCCTGGCTAATTTTTTGTATTTTTAGTGGAGACAGGGTTTCACCATTTTGGTCAGGCTGGTCTCGAACTCCTGATCTCAGGTGATCCACCCTCCTCGGCCTCCCAAAGTGCTAAGACTACAGGCACGAGCCACTGCGCCCAGCCAACCATATATTTAAGTTAACTAACCATTTTTGTGTCTGTCCTCCACTAGATTGAGCACATTGCAGACAGGATACATACAAGTGCTTGGGAAAATTCACACTATTCTCAATCTTCCACATTGAATGTTGGGCAGGGTGAGACAATGAAGTGTCTATTTTTTCCAACCAACAATTCTGTTAGTGCTCAAGACTTGGGTTTGCATGCTCCTAGCACTAGATTATTCAGCAAGTTAGTTAGTGTGAGTCTTCTATAAAATGCAGCTGATAATACCTACCTCAGAGATTTGGGGATTTCTTCTTGACCATTGTCTTCAGAGATGGTTATTAAACTTCGTAAGAATAGACTCAGTCACATAACATATGGCTGCATGTCATCTTTGTGTGTTACATCAGGTATTTACCTGAGAGAACACATGTAAAATGTCTAGTCCAGTGGCAGACACTTTGTAAGGGGCTAGTTAGTATTAGTTATTGTAAATACTCAATGATCAATTTTTATTTACTATATATCAATTTACTATGTATTGATTTTTACTATATATCAATTTACTGTGTATCAATTTTTATTTACTCTTTGCAGTGATCTTTTTCTGACTTTAGAAATCCAGCATCCCCTACCTTCCTCTAAAACCTACATACATTAGTTTCCTTTTGTTGGATTATGGCCATGTTTTCTATATTAACTTCATATTTTTCTTCTCTTTCTACCAGGGCAAACACTGTATACTTGATGTATCAGGAAATGCTATCAAGCGGTTACAAGTTGCCCAGCTCTATCCCATTGCCATCTTCATAAAACCCAGGTCTCTGGAACCTCTTATGTGAGTAGAGGGCATTGGAGGCCTTCATCCAACTAACTCCCTGTTCCATATTATACTGCAAATTACTAACAGGACTTTGCTGGGAATTCTTACAAATGGGAAATGCCATTGTTGATTTTTCAGCATTTTCTTTTTTTAAAGATACATCAAAGTTTTTTAAACCACTAGAAACATAATGTCAGTGATTTCTTTTTTTCACACCCCTCATTTTAACAATAATGGTAATTCCTTAAAACATTTTCAGTAATGTTTCCCGATTTTTATTGTTTTACTTCACAGGTTGTTTTGTTTGTTAGTTTTTGCGGTTTTGTTGTTGTTGTTGTTTTGAGGATAGCTTGGCTTGGTTTGGTTTTTTGGTTTGCTTTTGTTTTCCAAATGATAGAAAGCAATCATTTTTTAATTGTCTCATACTTCTGAGGCAGGTCCATAAGTAAATCTTTTTAAATATGTAGATTTTTTATAGAGAGAGCAGACAACATTTGAGACTTTTTTCATTGGCATTTTCCTTGATTCCATAATAGAATTCTAATGTTCCTTAATTAAAACTTTACACACGTAGAACATTGTTCTTAATAGAGTTTTCTTAGTGGCATGGCAGTAAAACATATGTAACTTAAGCCAGTAGCTTCATACCTGTGCACTCAGGGTTTTTTCTTGTTTTTCTTGTTTTTTGTGTTTTTTTCTCCAAAGGACTTGTGAAATAACTTCTTTCAAAAATCATTAAACAAAGTAGGCAGACATTCACGATCTGACTGTAAAGTTAGTATAGGCAACTCCCATTCACAAAGGTGAAGCTAAGAAGGGGCTACCAGCAGGGACCTGAAAATTGATCAGGCAAGATTTGGTTCTTTGCTTTGCCACTGATCAGTTAAGTAACCTTGGGCAAATTGTTTGACCTTTCTAAGATTTAGCTCCTCACCTCTAAACGAGGCACACTAATAAATACCTCATAGAGCTAGTATAAAGGTTAAATGACAAGGTTAGGAGTTTAGTAAAGCTGTTCATATAGTCTTTGGCATACGGTAAGTACTCAATACATAATACCCATTATTATTATAAAAGATATAAAATTACTTCATTTTAAAGGAATAAAACTATTTTATCATTATAGAACATATAAACAGCACCTCTTCCATGACAGTGCAAGAGATAATGCCAATGTGTCTGTCATAAGGGCCTTGATCAAATATTGCCTTCGTCTAGACCTCAAGACCATAGTGTTTGACAGAGTTCAGGAGTGAACCACAGAGTACTGGAAAACAATGTTTATGGAAAGACTGAAGAAATGGAAATTGTTTAATCCCAGCGGTGAAAGCAATTGCTTGCAGAGGATATTAGCTAACTGTTCTGTGTCTCCTCTGAAGACAAAGAAGCCAAGCAAACTGCAGCAGCTGGAATGGCAGCCTGAGAGAATTAAGTTAAATACGTAGTTGAGCTCTGGGGAAATTGCCAGAGATGTGTCTTGAAAGCAGAATATAGTCCCATAAACAAAAAATGGACAAGGATTCTTACCAGGATAAAAAAAAATAAGATTGGGAGGTCACTGACAGTACCTTCAGCCCCATGAATTTAGGTATTAAATTATAATATAAAGAGTTTTTCCCATGGCTGGCACGTGGAAAAATATGTACTAATGATAAAATAATGATTCTTAATATTATCATCCCCAACACGTATTAAATTTTTCCTTATATAGGATACTGTGTCGGGCATAGAACAAAGTGAATTAAGCAAGTACAAATTTCATAATGTAAAATTGATTTATAATCTGTAAAGAGCCTCATAAATATAAGTAATGCTAACATTAATAAGAGAAGAAAAATAGTCCTTACCTCCTGGGAACAGCCATCTTAAAGGCCTGTTTCAGAAATAGAAAAATAAATCTTCATATTGTAAACACTTAGTGGGATAAATGGCTTCCCAGGGGAGTGAGGCCTGAGGGAACGACAGCAGTGGCACATTTGGTCCAGTGCGATATTCGGAGACAGTCCCATCTGGCACTCCACAGGAGAAGGTCTACTGCCTTCCACAACTATGAGATGACTTATTTTAGTTATGCCTTAGGGCACTGTCACAGCCACTTATCACCAAGGAAAGTTAAACATACTAAAGGCTGGATTTCACAATGAGGACAGTGAATCTGACATAATTTGCTGCAGCCATATTCATGGGTCTAAAGCGCAGTGATGGTGACATTCAGACCAATGCAATCTAACTATTAAATGTTGGATGTTTACTTTACAGTTCACTCTTTTCCAAGGCTTTTACTCCAGGAGCAAAGCTGCCATGAATTGCCCATTCCCCAGGGAGGAGTGAATGCTAGGTCAGCCGGAACAAAAGCATGGCAGCTGTCACATTTACGCATTGATACATCATCACACACATTATTTCTCAAGTGCATCATCCACATCAAATCACAGAGCTTATTAGCACATACATAGCTGACTTTTCAGAGGAGCATAAAATCAAGGATGTGTATGAAAGGGATGTTCTTTTTATATTGTGCCACCATCTGACTTCTGTTCCCTTCCCACGTGGCAATGTCTCTTCACCCTGTCACTTCTGGTCTGCTTTTACCTTCCTGCTCCCATGATGCTATGTGTTTACTTCTGTCTTCAACTATCTTATAATTATGTTTATTTATCTAGCTCCTCATTTGTTCATTCATTCATTCATTTACTCACTTACTCATTCAACAAATAAGTGTTGAGTCAGACTCCATGCCACATGCTGACAAACAAGCCATGGTCTTCACCCTCAAAGAATTACTGGTCAGTCAAGGAGACAAAATAAATTCACAGGTTAGAGGATAAAAACCTAAACTAAGTTATTGCTATGATCCGTAAAAAGGTAATTCAGAGAAGATGGAATTTTTGGCAGTCAAGTTGAAGAAGATCCAGAACTACATGATTTCTTTTTTTGAGACAGGGTCTCGCCATATTGCCCAGGCTGGAGTATAGTGGTGCCATCATGGCTCACTGCAGTCATGACCTCATGGGTTCAAGCCATGTTCCCTCCTCAGTCTCCCAAGTAGCTGGGACTAAAGGCATGTGCCACCATGCCCAGCTAATGTTTGTATTTTTTGCAGAGACAGGGTTTCAGCATGTTGTCCAAGCTGTTCTTGAACTCCTGAGCTCAAGTGATCCACCTGCCTCAGCCTCCCAAGGTGTTGGGATTATAGATGTGAGCCATTGTACCTGGCCCATGTGATTTCTTGACATCTGGAGCAAATATCTTTCTCTGAAGGGCAGCCCTTGGTTTAGCCCAGCATCTTCTCCACCCACAAGTAACATCCATTCACAGCATGTAGGGCTGAGACTGTTTGGAAGAAAAATTATACATACTCCCCCTCAGGACAAGATGAGTTTAGCAACAAGAGTTCAGGAAATTCCCACTTCTTTATATTTTAGACATTAATGTCTAACATCAATATTTTGTTTTTTTCCAAATAAGCCTCTTTTGAAAGATATCAAGTCTTTGTATAGTAGGAAGTCTAACTAAAACTTGGTTTAAAAAACCAAAACCTTGAGTTCTTACCCCAGATTACTATTTGTTAAATACACAGTCTTAAGCATGTCCCTTCTTGCCTCCATTACTTGCTCTGGAAAGGAATTGACTAAGGCCAGATGTTCCAGACCCAGATCTCTGGCTTCTTAAGCAGCATGCAAGACAGTAGTGATTTCAGAAATTCTATGTGCACCTGTGATGCATCCTGATCAGCCAAGCAGATTGCATTTGACTGGACTCTTTTTTTAAATACTTGGAAGACCTGGAAAGATAAAGCTACCAGTAGTTAAGAATCAATAGATTAGGTTTTAGAGAGAATTCAAGAGTTTTTCATTTCTCTCCCACCTTGATTTATCCTTGAGACTTTTAAAAAATTTTATATATAATAGTTGTACATATGTTTGGAGTATATGTCATATTTTAATACCTGTATACAATGTGTAATGATCAAATCAGGGTAATTGGAATATCCATCACTGGAAATGTTTTGGGAACATTACAGTTCTTCTCTTCTAGCTATTTTGAAATATTCCTCTAACTGCATTTTATACCCCTTAACTAGCTTCTCTTCATCTCCCCTCCTGCCTTCCCTTCCCAGTCTCTGATAACTACCATTCTACTCTCCCACATTTCAGAGATTCTGACATACACTAGGACAAACTCCAAGAAAGGGTGACCAGGAAAATTCAGATTTAGAAATCACATCAAATGAGGGGATAGATGAAGCAATAGGACAGTTTATTCTGAAGAAGTAGAAGCCTCAAGACACACTTAAACACTTTACTGAAATATCCTAGGGCCTACTATGGTGGATATTAGGTCCCTGCAGAACAGGGACCAGTGACTGCAAATCATAAGGAGGCATATTTGGCTTTAATCCAATGTGGGAGCAAGAGACTGCCCTTTGAGATAATGAGCTTTCTGGCCGGGAGTCCTTGTTGCTGAAATTATTCCAGCGCAGAGGAGTCCTGAATGAAGACTAAAAAGCTGTTGCTAAGATTACACTATGCTTTCTGCAGGATTTATTTTTGCCATATATTTTAATTTTTTAGGATTTGGAATATTCCCTTTATGTTCTAATACAAATCCTTATTTTCCCAGGGAGATGAATAAGCGTCTAACAGAGGAACAAGCCAAGAAAACCTATGATCGAGCAATTAAGCTAGAACAAGAATTTGGAGAATATTTTACAGGTAAGTTCACTTTTACCCTGGTAGTGTGAGAAAGGGGATAAATTGTCTGACATTTGGCATAGAGAGGGCTCTGGGCCTGGTGTACTTGTGCCCTAAAACCTTCCTGTTGAGAATCCCTAATATCTGTTTCATTCACAAGGAGCCTCCCTCTGCTTCACCCATTTTGACGCAAAGCCCTGGGTTCTCCTGAGAGTTCAGCTGCAGCCAGCTCCCACGTTCCCACCAGCCCTACCCAAAACCATGGGCAGCGGATGCCCCTGAGCTGTCTCCTACCATGAAAAGGATTTTAGGCATTGCTACCTCATTAAACTATGTCCCCGATATCATCAGAAAACTTGAAAAACAAAATTTTAGGGCTCAAAATGGTCAGTGTCCAAAGCAGTTACTCTTGAGAAACCTGGAGGCCTCCGTTCCCTGCTCCATGAGCTGTCGTCAGTGTCCCCATCACCGATCAGCAGCACGTGAACAAGATGCTTGAAACTCTTCCTCATGTTTTAGTTCACTGTGTCATGTCTCAACCAAAAACGGTTTTTATTTTCTTTTTAAATGTTTCCTTGGAAACATGAAGTTAGGGGAATAGAGGTTTTTATTCTCCTGGATGGCCTGAGTTCTGAGTTCTCTATTCCTATATGCTTTCATAGAACACTGAGTAATCAGACTTTGTGAAATTTGCCTTACACCTGGTTCCCAGTGTTTTAAAAACAAGAACTTTCGAGCTGGGCACAGTGGCTCCCTCCTGTAATCCCAGCACTTTGGGAGGCAGAGGCAGGTGGATCGCCTGAGGTCAGGAGTTCGAGACCAGCCTGGCCAATGTAGTGAAACCCCATTTCTACTAAAAATAAAAAAACTGGCTCGGTGTGGTGGCGGGTACCTGTAATCCCAGCTACTAGGGAGGCTGAGGCAGGAGAATTGCTTGAACCTGGGAGGCAGAGGTTGCAGTGAGCCGAGATTGTGCTACTGCACTCCAGCCTGGATGACAAGAGTGAAATTCTATCTCAAAAAATAAAAAATAAATAAATAAATAAAACCCAAGAACTTTCTTCCTGGATTACCATATGTGAAGTTAGATGTTTTATTTTTTACCTCATTCAGAATATAGAAAGTGTCAATGTCTTAGCAGTTTGTAAATATCTTGAATCAGGTAATATTAAGTAATCTTTCTGTCAATAACCAAGATATGAGCTATGTTTCATCCTAAAAGAACATCCAGGTAGGAAAAACAATCAAAACAGTGTACATTTTGACAGTGGTTTATATTTGGTATACAATACAATAATTAATATATTCTGAGGATTGTTTTTAAATGTCTAAATCATCTTTCAGTAGTAATTTATTTTTAAGACATAGTGTCATGAATAATATTGATGTGTTTTGGAAATCTTTCTACAAGATAGTTTTGTTCAAATGAGACAACAAAATGTACTAAAATCTACTCCAAGTGACTTAGTGTCTTAGGAAATACACAACTGATCAGTTTGTTTATATTTCTTTCTATTTATGTTCCTTATAAATAGTGGACTGACGGTATTCTCGATATGAATAGCCCTGTATGGTAAAATCTCAATTTACCAGAGATTTCGGAAATGATTGGGTTTTCCTATTAAGGGCTTGAAGGTTGGGAGGTTAACTAAACTTCCTTCTAAAATCTTTATTATTTCCTCGGTGTCTACAATATCTGAATTTCTGCTGCTGCCAAAGTAAGTAAATATAGACACTGTAAGGCTAGTTTTCTTTTCTAAATAGGGGGCTCTCAGTCTGAAAATTGATCAATGCCTAGCTTAGTGCCTGGCTCAGAGTAGGCACCCATAAAATATTGGTTAAATAGATGAGTGATTCATTGTCCAGGACTACAGACAGACATGCAGGAAGTGCAAAGACTGTGATGCATTTGTTACTGATCCAGGATATCCATTGAAAGCATTTTTAAAAATCATGAATGTAACTTTGCTAATGTGAATTCTCTGCTTTTTCTTACTAATGAAAAATGATATGAAGCTTCCTGATGAGTTGTCTGCTACTGATTTGAGCCTCCAATGTGTGAGTGATGATTGTTCTTCACCATCCGGGAAATGATTTCTAATTCTGGATGTTTGCTTTTGTTATAGCTATTGTCCAAGGAGATACTTTAGAAGATATATATAACCAATGCAAGCTTGTTATTGAAGAGCAATCTGGGCCTTTCATCTGGATTCCCTCAAAGGAAAAGTTATAAATTAGCTACTGCGCCTCTGACAACGACAGAAGAGCATTTAGAAGAACAAAATATATATAACATACTACTTGGAGGCTTTTATGTTTTTGTTGCATTTATGTTTTTGCAGTCAATGTGAATTCTTATGAATGTACAACACAAACTGTATGAAGCCATGAAGGAAACAGAGGGGCCAAAGGGTGGGACAGAAAAGACATTGCAGTATGAAGGAAGGCTTTGGTTTGCTCAAAGTGCCAGGTGTAGGGATGAACCTCTGACGGGCTTTCTGCCCAAGAGATGAGAGCCTCCTCACCCCAGCTGATGTCCAGAGCTGATTTAGCTGCAGAGCTCTCTGTGTCTTTTGCTTTAAAGAAAAATTGCCAGCACTCGAACCTCACCAACCTTCCCATTACCCACATCTGTAATTGGTACACTTCGAATTTTATAACTATGCACATCTTTTGATTTCTTAACAAGCAAATGAAAGAAAGAAGGAAAAAAGAAAGGAGTCCCTTTGGAGACGACATACTATCAGGGAAGGATAAGTGTGTAGTTTTTTGACTGGCATCTGCAAAGACAAGCATTTCATAAAATTTGCAAGTGTATGGAGGACTAACCTCACTGACAGGAGGGGATTCCACCTGGAATTAGCTTTATGATTGTTGATTGCCTATTTTGCCATTTATAGACTGAAAGAAGGCACTAAAGATGAGAATAATTTATACAATAAAAATATATTAAATGTATAGAAACAAATTTCTATAGGTTAAAAAAGTTTTGTGAAATATTTTGTAAAGACTAATATTGAAAGACTAAATGTATGCAACATCAGCAGATGATCAAATTCAAGAACTGAAAGTTGCACTCTCCCTTTTGTTGCCAATGATCCATTAAGAGCATCTGAGTTCCTTTCAAGTCTGACAAAGACTTCTTCCTCACTCACCTCCCTTCCACATTAGTGATACACTCTCATGGAGTACATCCCTTAATGAGTTGCCCTTATGGATATTTTTGGAAAACATTTGGTTAATGCATTTTTTTTTATGCTGATGGCTTTTCAGAGACAAACTTATGCAAATGATCTAAAGGGAAGTTTTTGCTTTTCTCTAGTTAAATAACCTGAGCCTGCCATGCAAATAGTTGAATAACTTTGTTCCTAGTTACTAACATACAATTCTTAAAGGACCATTTAGCATTTTGGCCAACAATGAGTAATTAGGATTAGTACTTTTTTGTTTTACAGAGTAACTGACAGTTTTGTAACATCCAGAGATGGTATTAGAGCCAACGGGAGATCTGTTCCTAGATGCACTATTTCTTTGAGGAAGAGAGAGAAGTGTCTGGTTGGGGGTGAGGGGTGCAGATTTTTTTGTTTCTATGTACAGGGCAAAGAGATAGAGTCACAAGAAAAGACAATTAATGACTTTGAGCTCAACCAATTGAACTGCCTTTCTTGGAGCTGCACCTGGACCAAGTTTATTTTTTAACAATTATAATAATGATGATTTAAAAAAAGAAACCTCCCAAAGCCTATAAACTGAACTAGAAAAGTTAGTTTCCCACTTTAGAGTGGATGGCAACATCAGCATTGCTTTTGCCCATGGTGTTTAGAGAGAGACTTTTCAGTGATAATAACCACTCTACTCTGGGTTCTGTGCATGCCCAGACTAAGCCCCATCGCCTTATTTCTGGGGTACATCCAGACCTGGCAGGGATTCTGCCACACTGTGCAGCAAACCAGCATGTAGGCTGGGAAGGAGAGCAAGAGATAGAGCCATCAGTGTGATGGGGCTTCTTCACAGTAAGAACATCAGAGCTTAGAATGAGAGTCTCTTTCCAAAAACAGGCATTGTTCATCTTACACTAAACATCATTGTCTGCCTGGCTGCAGTCAGCAAAACAAACACAGAAATGCAAAATTATGCATCTTCCCATAGTCTTGAGGCTTCCTTTGCCAATGGAAGGGCTAGCAATGCATTTTCCCTCTCATGAAAGTTAAATTTCCAGAGACTTCCTTAGATTGCTCAAAATGTTAAAGATATGTCCATGTCTGCAATTCGCCAGTTTCAGGTCAAGGCCTACTTTCATCAATATTGCTCCCAGAAGTTTTCTGCCACCAGAATGCCATTCCTGATCCCAGCTCTATTTTTAGGCCACCATGATAACTTCTTTGGTTTCTCAACTGAGCATGCAACCATTTATTTAAAAGACTGTCATTAATGAGTAGATGTTTTTGCGGGTCGTGTGATGTGCTTTCATTTACTAGTATTGCTGTGGCTGAGTACAATCAAATTGAACCACCAACCCTTGGTTTTGTAGTAATATAACTATTTATTTTCCTAGTGTAGATGCTTTCAGATTAGAATTGGCATTTGCACTGATTTTTTATGTAGATTTATATAATTATATAGATACATATATATTTGCTTGAAGAATCACCAAGCAAATTGGTGAGAGGGTCTTTTCCTATAGAATTTACACCTCCATTTGTTGTGTTGTCTTGCACTTCCCAATGTTGATGTCTCTATGGCTCCAATGAACTGGTGTATTTTGCAGCAAATCTGATGACTTGTATGGAAATGGCATGAAAGTTACCCAGATTACATCTGGTGCAAATGCACTCGGAGCCTGGGGCCAGACTGGTGCTAACACTGCAAACTTTGTCCAGAGCTCTCTCCAACCTGAAGGCTTGCTGGGGGTGCAATGTCACCTTCACACATGCTGGGCCCTTTCAGAAAAGTGCCAGATCGTGTAACTGGTGCTATTTTTCATGCTCTGGTACAATGTGTAGCACCACGGGGCTCTCAGCTTTACCAAAATCAAAATTCCATTTGTCAGCTAAGTGCAGAGGCATTCATTTTTTGCTCTCCTCCCACAGAATTGTTGGCCATTTATTTGCAGGCCTTTTGCGGGATTTCTTGGCCGTTTATTTGCAGGCCTTTTCTCCCAGCCCCAAATTCTTGGGTTGGCTCTGTCTGCTTAAAGAGCCTGTCTTCACAAAGCCGCACTCGGGTGCCTCTGTGCGCTGTCTTAGATCCTACTGCCAGCCCTTCAGGACTCCGAGCCAGGAAAGAACTCTCCAACCTCTGGCTCGAGACTCTGGTTTTTTTCCTCATTCTTTTCCTTGCTCTCCTCCTTCTTCTATTTCTGACTAATTCCATCTCTCTCTCTCTTTTGTTTTTTTTTTTTTTTTTGTTCCTCTCCTTTTCCTATTCTTCCTTCCCACCATCTCTGAGTTGTTGACTTTCTCCTATAATCCTTCTCTATTCCTTTTCTCTTTTTGTCCACCTCTCCTTCAGTCTCTGTTCCTTTGCCCTTCTTATTCCTCTTCTGTCCTTTCTCCTCTCCTCGCACCTCTGATCATCTTCTCCCGCACATCCCTGTATTGATTTTTCTGTCCTCTAAAGGGCTCATGGCTGATTCAGACAGCAAGTCCGTGCACTGGACTAATGACACAAATACTTTAGGTCGCCGTTTCACCTACTCAGCCCAGAAAGCAAAGCTGAGCGTGAGGCCCTGACCTGGAGCCTGCTCCAGCCCGCCTCCCGGATCCAGCCTGCACCGTTGCCCTGGCAGCGATGATGCATGTGCTGTGGGCCCTGCCGGCGCCTGAGTGCCTCTGCCTGAACGCTGCTCCTAAGCGAGCCCACTCCCAGCACTACCGCATGGCTCTGAGGACACTTCCTTTCAATAAAGGCAGACTCTGGCCCCAATTATTCTGACAGCAAACCTCTTCCTCCTCATTGAAGCCATGCCATCACCTTGGTTTGGAGAGAGACATTTTTTTCCCATTCATAAGCTTTCTTTTTCCCATTTTCATGTGAAGCCCCTTCTGCTTTTCAGCTGGTGATTGCTCTGGTGAGACTGAATGGACTTGCTGGTGAAATGAAATCTCTTCTTTCCTGTCTTGGTCCTGCCTAAATTCCTACAAATATATTTAAGTCAAGGACTCAGGCTAATTCCTAAGTTGATCACATTAATTTGTCACTCCTAGGGGGAAAAAGATCAATTCCCTTGAAGCATGTGGAGTACCTCCTGTGACAGCTGACTTGCCAGGGGACTCCCTACAGAATTCTGTGATATACATTTTACTTCTGTGTATGTATGGTATATATGGTATGTATACCATGTACACACATGTTACATTGAGTATGAATGACTGTGGTTGGAAACCCACACACACACTCAAGTCTGTAAATATCCTTCCTCACTGAAACCTGTGCTTTGGAAATCATTTCTTGTACAGCTGTGCAGTTTCTTGTAACAGCTGAGGACAAAGCTAAGGCAGGCGGACAATTTAGACAAAGATCATCTAAAGAGTACAGTATCTCCCTAGCAACTCATGAGGACAGACAACCAAGTGACAAGGTTGACTCCCAATGGGATGGCAGACTTTTCTTCTCTCCTTTTTGAGTTTGTGTTTCCTAAGTGTTTCTTAACTTCTGAGTGCACCAGGCTGTACCCGTTAGATCCTTTCAATATGACAGTTTTGTGCTTCTCTCTGACAGGATGTTTCTCCATCGAGCTGTAGTGCAGGATGGGAGGGAGGTGGGAATACTCCTTGCCTGGGCTGGAGTTTACAGAGACACTGCACAGCTTACACTCCTGTTAAGTGTAAATATTCAACACTTCCATTCCATTTGTGTAAAAAATAAAGCACACACGATTATAAAATCAAGATGTATATTTCATACTCAGTGTGTCTGTGCATATTTATTGCGTTTCTAGTTGTCAGCGGTGGGTGGCCCCATTGTAAAAATGCCTGATAGAGTGTTTATAAACGTGTCATGGTTTTATTATGAGATATAAACATTAAAACATTTTATACTTTATAGCAAATTATTTTCTCCCAAAGCATAATTTGTCTTATTTCATAAGGAATAGAATTATTCATGTCTATTTTTATCAATTTTGTCTCTGATTCCAGAGCTAAAATGCAATGAGGATGGGTATGCCCTGAGTAGTACTGGCACTGCTGAGAGGAAGTGAAAGTGCTGTTTTGCATAGTCTTAAATATTTGGTTACCATCTTGCCTGCTTTTAATCAGGATTTTTCCAAAAGTGAACAATGTATTAAAAGATAGATTTTTAAAGATGCTCACAGCTATGTAAGGAGAAAAATCAATTTCCCAGTGTCAAACTGTGGAATTCCAGAAGATATTAAGAATACAGAAAAATAATTTTTTTCTTATCTGAAACATTATGCAAAGAAAGGCATAAACTGGGGAGGAGGTATCATTGTCTTATACACATTGTTGCTCCAAAGATTTGACTGTATCGAAAATGTCAGGTTTGGGAATCTGGATCTGCCAGATAATGTTCTAAATTGTTCACTTCAGGTTAAATACATGCCTTGTTATATTGACATTTAGCCTTGTCATACTGACATTTAGCCAGGTTTGACAGCTAGAGAACCAAAACAAATTCTGCTCACGAGAGGGGTGAAATTTTGCATCAAAGCAATTGCTTTGGATTCTGCTTTGTTTCATGATAAACTATCACATAATTGAATCAGCCATTCGGGAAGCCAGACTAGTTGTTCATGCCGTTCTGGCCATCAAGAATCTGCCAGGTGTCCTACAGCTGTCCTTGGTGCTGGGTAGTGAACAGAGACTCTCAGACATGGTATAAGAAGACATTGACTGAGGCTGCAAGACCAATGTGGACCTCAAATTTTGACAATTATGCAATTTTCAACATTTGCACAGTCTCACCTGGTTTAATATTAATGGTAACACTGTACACAAAGCCAGATTCCCTTCAATAATGGATGTGTTCATAAGGAAAGAAGCCAAAAGAGCATTCAACTTTTCTCTGTGTCCTGTTTCATGTCTGCAAAACAGTTTTTAAACCATGATCATGCTAGAAGTCTCAAAAGCTAGAAGTGGCCGACACATCTCTGAACCTAAGAGGGGCTAGTTATGAACCTGTGATCTCTGTAGATACTCTGAGGCCATACACCCAGTGACAGAATTTAAAAGCCTCACCAAGGCACAAAGCTAGGGAACATCTGTACAGGGAGCCACAGTGAGACCCATCGTCTTTAAAGTTGTCAAGGGAGGATGTGTTCTATGAATAATAACCCCAATTTCTGTTCTCTGTCACCTTTCCCTTAGGGACATCTCAGAAGGCACCATGGCTATCATTAGACAGATCCCCTTCCCTCTCTAATGTTACAGCCAAAGCATCAAGTCCAGGCCTTGTCCCTAATGCCCCTGAGCACTCTTAGGACAAAGCTAGAAAACTTGGGTAAACTTCGCTAAAGCCTGGGGATACCAAAAGGGAAATAAAAGATATTCTTATTTATGGTATGAGCTTAGTGCTCAGCCCCTGGCTTGCTGACATGAGAGACACAGGCTACCTTTCCCCAGCCACCCAGGCATCCCTCAAGCATAGCTAGACCATTCGTCAGACCCTTTCCTCTGTTGCAGCACACCTGAGAGGTGCTGTATCCATGCTTGACTCAGCACCTGCTACATTAGTTGCCTGCTGTCTCCATCACAGGCTGGAATACAAACGGAAGTGACTCAGTGTGGCTTTGATTACTCCTTAATTGTAAACTTCAAAGGACAAATGATTTACAACATGCTTCACATCTAGGTATAAGGCATCAGTAGAACCTTATTGGTCTAAACTGTTCAAAGCCTGAAAAGCAAGGTCCATGAGAGACAGTAGTTCTCTCCCACCCCTTTAATCCTATCTTTCCAGTTCTGGGTCCCTGTCTTGTGTGGACAATTGAATTAGGTAACATCTCCTCTTCAAGACTTTGGAAGGATTAGCTGTGTGAATTTTGAACAGCAGAAAACTAACATCCATACCATGAGCCAAACATACAGAACAGGTTTCATTCCATCAAAATATAATTGACTATTTCAATCTGAAAGAAGAGGAAAGGAAGAAAAACACCTTCTTTTCAGCAGGCATTAAAAATTTCAAATTCTTAAAGCTCTACATAGCAAATTACAACGAACAGTTTCTTACTAACAGAATTAGTCCCTCAGAGAACAGTTGATTTCTCTAACAAAATTGTGAAAACAACAAGCTAAAAAGTTGGATCTTAATTGGATTGTTGGATTTTTGTGGGCCACACCTGTGTCTTTGATATTCTTAGTAATCTTTCAGCAGAAATTATGCATGCACCATTCTCCGTCATCTGGCACTTCTGGTATGAATAACCCTTGTGGTGAGGAACTCTCTCCTCTTGGTTTCCCGACTGGTTTCTTATAACATCACTCATCCTAATTTACTTGAGCCAACAAATTGGGCATCCAGTCGGCAGTCCTTTTCCTCAACATTTGGAGAAGCACTCTTGACCATCTGAAATTCTTCATAGTAAAAAGTTATAGAGGCTGGCCGGGCATGGCGGCTCACGCCTGTAATCCCAGCACTTTGGGAGGCCGAGGTGGGTGGATCACCTGAGATCAGGAGTTCAAGACCAGCCTGACCAACAGGGAGAAACCTTGTCTCTACTAAAAATACAAAATTAGCTGGGTGCGGTGCTACGTGGGAGGTTGAGGCAGGAGAATTGCTTGAACCCAGGAGGCGGAGGTTGTGGTGAGGTGAGATCGTGTCATTGCACTCCAGCCTGGGCAACAAGAGCAAAACTTGGTGTCGGAAAAAAACAAAAAATTACAGAGGCTGGGTTCAAGACCAGCCTGGCCAACATGTAAAACCCCATCTCTACTAAAAATACAAAAATTAGCCAGGTGTGGTGGAGGGCACCTGTAATCCCAACTACCCAGGAGGCTAAGGCAGAAGAATCGCTTGAACCTGAGAGGCAGAGATTGCAGTGAACCCAGATCGTGCCACTGCACTCTAGCCTGTGTGACAGAGCAAGACGCCGTCTCAAACAAACAAAAAAAGGTTACAGAAAATGTGCCATATATGAAACTGGGTTCAATTAATTCATCAAAATTTGGGGTATTTACCCAACATTTTATGCAAAGAAAGACTGATGTGCTTAATTAAAATGACCCCACAAGGAAAACAGTTCCAAAAAATTGGCTTTTTAAATTATTTATTTATCTAGTTATCATTCCTTACACATTTGGTCAGCAAACAATAAACACTTGCTTGGAGCCAGGCTCTATTAAGATGGTGAAGTAGAAAATGAAATAAACGCTCAGAGCACTCTCTGTCTTTTCAAGGAATGTAAGCCTAGTGGCAGAAACCTATTTTTAAAAGATAGTTAAAACACAGATGCTCTAAAACAAACCAGTGAGTACATAAAGACTCCAAACGAGCAACTTTCACATCCAGGAATCAGATGTGCACCTGCTCATTTGCCCATTGCTCACACCCTGGGAAGAGCTTGTATGGCAAAACTAAGTCTCTTCTATGGTGTTCCTGAATCTGTCAACCTCCTGATATCCCTACCCAATCCCACTGGCCATTTGAATGGTCTACCAATACCAGTTGGGATCCCACCTCCCCCCCATCCCTGGGGGAGAGGTGAAGATGACAGGTTAGCACAGACTAACTTGCCAGGTGAACAAAGGGTGGTAGGCAAGGTAGGCAGAAGATATGGGGAGGTTAGTCGTCCAGAACCACCATTCCTAACAAGTGGCAAGAATTATCAGGAAGCAAGAAACAACCTGGGGAATTGGTCAGGATGAAGGACAATCCAGGTATTCACAGGAGAAACTACAGCAATGGAGAGTTTCTGTTTTCTTTGCAATACACAGACTATTTGATGCATCAAAGATCTACTTCAAAGTAAAATGGTGAAATGAGGCCTTCTTTTCTGATATAATTTCGAGCATTATGCACATAATTAGAATCATAAGCAGTGTTTTATTCCCTTGGAAGGGGTAGTTTCCTGATGGATGCTTAAATCAAAAACATGCAATAAGAACTAAAGGGGAGGTTAAACTCAACTTTCAACTTTATGAGATAAATACGTTCCTATTTTATTAGCCCAGGAAACATCTTAAGAAGACTTAGAAAGAGTGGTGGTTGAAAGAGAAAAATTGATGTATTGAGCCTATAAATTGCCTTGGTATTTTTCCAAATAACTTCTCAGTTGTTTAGGGTAAGACGTGACCTTGACGTTGAAACCCATAGATAATCTCCAAATCCATTTTTAGTTAATCATCTTACTCCCTGAAATTTTGTCCAGAGTTTCAGACAAAGGTCAACACTGTCAGAAATGTGGCTCAGCACTTTCCTGGAGTGAGGGATCAATGCACAGGGATAACTTACTGACAGTAAAAGGAAATGAGATTGAATAGTGCAACAACCCCCTGGGCTACCATCACTGAAATTATGCATTTCACCCAATAATCTGAAGCAAGTCCACAAGAAGAGACTTCTAGTGCAGTCCCTAATTGCTGGTTTGCCTGGCTCTCTTATCATATTATAGTGTGGCGAACAACGAAAGCATGTTCTGTGTGTCCTGGGACAGGAAGCTTCTGGTTTGTAATTATGTTCCATTGGAAACAGAGCATCACAGAGCAGGGGCAAGAGTTCAGCCTTGGTGCCAGGCTACCTGGGGAGCCTGCAGAGGGCTATGCCTATGTTCTGTGTCTCCTTCCCCTTTGCTAACTGCTCACAGAGCTCTCTGCAGCACTAGAAACATCACCCAGTCCTATGTCTCCATGAATGGACACCTCAAAAGGTGTCCTGGGACCAGAGGCATTAGTATCACCTGGAGCTTGTTACAGTGCAGAATCTTAGGCCCTATCCAGATCTACTGAATCAGAATCTGCATTTTCACAAGATTCCCCAGTGATTCCATGCGTGTTAAAATCTGCAATACATGGTTTACAAAACTGAATCAGCTATGAAGAAAAGAGATTGGAGAGAAGTATTTTTTGATAATCAAGAGAGCCACTAACTTCA